TGGGAGCTCCTAGTTAGGATCTACAATAGAAAAAGTTCGCGAGACTCTGATTGCTGCCCGTATCAACATCAAGAGAATCGCCCAGGCTACAGTCAAAAGTGCGATGTGAAGAAGAAAGGATGTCTTTGTCAGCAACTTGCGGGCTGACCGGCGCTCCTTGAGCTGCTTTGCCTTGTCCTTCTCAAGACCTGCAAAATGACAGTCGCGCGGCTGAATCTCTCTCAAGAGAGTCGACGCGCGGTAGCGCACTCGTCCGCACCTCTTCGCCAAGTCGCTGCCCGGGCACCAACGCACCTGTGCAGACTCTGGTCTTTTCCTATGCTATAAAGCCCGTTTTCGTCGCTGTAGCTCGCGATATATGTACCCAAGCGCCCACCATGTCGATGGAATGACGTAAATTCCCAGCATGGTCATGCTGAAATAGTAAAAGGCCGAATTGTCGTAATCCAAACCCATACTGGCGACGTCGTTGCGGCAACAGCTATGTATGTAGCTCAATAACTAGGCCATGAATTATGGCTGTCAGCAACCCCGGCGGCTGGCTCAGGCAAAAAACGCGATTCGGCCGCTTCGGCCTCCCCGGCTAGTTGGCTTTGCGGCGCGCCCCCGTGCTCCACGCCACCGCCGCGCCCAGGCCTAAGAATTGGCACACACCAGCACCACCTTACCGACTGCGTCCTCGCCAACTTGAACGCGCGCGGGCCATCTCGACGACTTCGGAAGCGACGCCGCACGCCGGACATTTCCAACGGCGGCGGCGACGATACAAAACGCGGCCGCCTTTATGGAAAAAAAGTCCGCGGAGACGGTGGAGACCTAGCCGACGTCCCTCGACATACCAGATGAGGACGCGTCGCGCGGCGTTACCTTCGCGACGCGCGTCGGGTCCTTCTCCAGGGAGAACCGCGAACGCCGTAACGAGGATCGCGCTGCTCGCCGAGAACGCGGACGCCGAGCCAGTTTCGCTACCAAGCCATGGGCGCAATGGCTACGAAGTCGTCGCACATGCCCTCGGAGTCGCCCACGGCTTCAACGCCGTGCGACGGGGCGCCGACGACGGTCCGGAGATGATCTCTGCCCCCGGATTAGCCCGAAACAGCTTGTTCGGGGATGTTCGGGCCATTGCGCGTCGACCGATCACTGCCAGTGCGTTCCGTGGGGATTGTCGGGGACGACGAGCACTTGTGCGGCCGCTGGCGGCTGCGTGGGCGACCGCAAGGCGCCGAACGAGCCTCGGGCCCAGAAAGGCCGCGAACTACCGCGGGTCCACCGCGGTCCGATGCGCCGCCGTCCGGGTCTCGCTGGCGGCTCGCGGGCCCACGGGGCTCACCCGGAAGCCCTGCCGCGGCCGAAGAACTCCAAAGTGACTTATTTAGTGAGGC